CTTAGCGGTGTGGTGAAGGAGGAGGCAGTAATCCAGATTTTGGGTTAGTGTTTGGCCCAGGATCAACATAATCCAACACCTCAGTCATCTCCCTTGATTCTCCTCCTGCATTTTCCTGAGAAACAAACAGATATTAACATTCTTGCCCAATTAATTAAAACTTGTCCATTCAAAAAAACAAGAATTTGAAAACTGAAAACCTCCAATAGAGCAGTAGTAGCACTTTCTCCACCCCCAGAAGTTTCCATCAATTCTCTCCCAAATCCTACGAAATCAAACAATCAAAAACAAAACAATTATTGTAAAGAAAACAAAAAGAAGACCCCAGCTGTGAGAAAATATTTAAGAAAAATACTCATAATAATAATCACATCACCATGGGAGGACGAGAGAATCAGAAGAGTCGATAGAACCAAGACCGCGAGAAAACGAGACCGACCCATGATTTCTTTTTCGATTCTTGGAAATGGGGTTTGTTCTCAGATTTGTGTGAGAGATGTTATCAAACAGTAGAGACGACCCGAAGCGTAGAAGAATCCTGAGATTTTTTTGCAGTTTCTAATAAACCGCCTTGGCCTCAGATCTAATTTTTATAATATTTCGTGAAAAGTTGATTGCGGCAGTAACGATGATACTAGATAGCGTTAGTGGGCATCCCTCTTTATACAGGCAGCCTCTGGACGGGACACCGGTTTGATTGATGTGGTTTGAGACCGGTTTTTGTCTATATATGTTAAACCGGCCTACTTTATTTTAGCTAATTATCTGCGGATAATACATGGACTAAAATTTTCACCATATATTTTATACCAAATTAATGTGAATTGTGAGATCAAGAAATCTTACAAACTTTCACTAACTATCTAATGACCATTAATGTGAGATATATGAAGTTTGGTGGACACATCATTTATCGCATGTTAAACAATTTTTCCCATAAATACTTTAAGTCTCGGTGTTGATTGTGTGTTCTTCACCGGATTAGAGATAAAATTAGTCAAAATGTACCTAAATTAATTTAGACACTTCTAATCGTTAAATTAAAAATAATAATAATAAAGATGAAAAATTGCGGCAGAACAAAGACCTCAGAAAAAGATGTTGCCTTGTTGATCTTGAGTTTTTGGGTATGATNAAAAATTGCGGCAGAACAAAGACCTCAGAAAAAGATGTTGCCTTGTTGATCTTGAGTTTTTGGGTATGATTAGTTATCATTCACCCACCTTGTGTGTGCCTACAAACCTAACTTTAGGTTTGACATTTATAATTAAAGAAACTGTGAAGGTGGAAGACTCCCTAATTCTTTTAGCAGTTCATCTGTATCCTTCTCGTTATCACTTCAATAAACAATGAAGACATGTGCAAATAACCCCCCCTTTTTTTTTGAGCGAGGAAATAAGTCTATTTTATTTTCTTTATCTTTCGCACTTCTCTTATTGAGAAAGGGAGAGAACTCATTCATATTAGCAAGTTTAAAATAATAATGCTATTTGAAATAAAATTATCTATCAAATTTCTTATTTAGAAAATAAATTTGCTAATCAATAAATTATTCTTGTTGAATAAATTTCACCTAACATTGAACCTCATTCTTTACATCATTAGAGGGAATTGATTAAGAAAACTGGTTCAAATGCGAACTCTACTTATGCTTTGGATCGGAAGCAGCAAGCACCACTTGTCACCTTGGATCTGACATAAAGTAGGTTAATGTTTCTTTCCTTCCTTGTATTGGGTGTCTTGGGATTAGGTTTGGGCATGTCATACTACACTATGAAGTGGAGTACATGTAATAATAATATATNAAAAAAAAAAAATCTAACACCTAATTTTCAACTCACACAGCATCCTATAACTAGTTAGAGCCTTTACTATGTAATGATCTTGAATTTATCAAAGTGCACCTTAAAAAAATTCTTTTTTTATGACATATTTTATGTCGGTTCAAATCTCAAACATACTAGTTTAAAGGTGAATACCTAACCATCTGTATGAACCTGTGATGGTTTGGATTACTTATATAACTTAAATACATGGTCTTAACTATGACAATATAAAGAGTTTGACTTTTTTTTGGTTCAATGGTCAAAGATATCTACACTAGCTTAATTATGCGTACTTCGACTAATCTCTTTCTTAATCCAATCAAATATAGGTCATCCACATCAAAATTAGAGTATTCATGAAACATAAATTTCTCATAATCGAACTCCAAAATATTGCTAAGATTCAAACTTATGATATTTGAGTTTAAGGCTCGTTTCTGTCATCACTTTAACCACCCATAGTTATAAAGAGTCGACTCTAGACTACCAAGTTTGAGNCTCATAATCGAACTCCAAAATATTGCTAAGATTCAAACTTATGATATTTGAGTTTAAGGCTCGTTTCTATCATCACTTTAACCACCCATAGTTATAAAGAGTCGACTCTAGACTACCAAGTTTGAGGATTTAGCTGTATTTTGTATTTCATAAAGAACCTCCAATTGTTTAAGCAAAAAAGTCCAAATTTGTTTTAGCAATCTAAGTAAGATTGATCATAATGACAATTTGATTATGTGAGTGAGGCACACATTTCATGCAACCACAAACTCTAATTTATTTTTCGGCTTAGTGATAATATTTGCTTATTTTGAGTATGGATTTGGTGAAGGGACTGTTGGTTGCTGATAATGTAAGATTTTGAGTATGCATTTGGTGGAGGGACTGTTAGTTGTTGAAAAATGCAAGGTAGGATGTGACTAAAGTGTTCAACAGTTTTTTCTAAACAGTACCAAGGTTACTACCTAATGGAGGCGAGATCAACGCTAAACCTAATCAAGTTATCATAAAATGGNTGTGACTAAAGTGTTCAACAGTTTTTTCTAAACAGTACCAAGTTTACTACCTAATGGAGGCGAGATCAACGCTAAACCTAATCAAGTTATCATAAAATGGGATTGTTTATGGTAAAGTTTTTTTGGGTTGTAAATAAATCTCATTGAATAGGAAGTTATCTTAACCCAAAAAAGTTGGAATCAAATACTATCGATTAATAATTTTTTGTATGATACCTCACTTGAAGAATAGTAGAAACCTGCAGGGCAAGGTCAAGATTCTGTAGAATACAGATCTGAACAAGGGTTTTGGATAGGGGTGCAATTTGAAATGGGCCAACCCGAATTCAATTTGAATCTAATCCGAAAAAATAAAATTTGGGTTAAAATTTTTAATACTTGATTTAAGCTTGGACAAAAAAATTTCAACCCGAATTAAATTGAGTCCTCAAGTTGTCGGGTTCAACCCGAATATATATAAATATATAAATTTATTTAACTAAACTTAATATTTATCTTCACTCTTCAAAATCCAGACTTTCACTTCACTTCAAGTCTTCACTCTCTGTGCCTCCATCACTCTCAGATTCCTCTTTNTCAACCCGAATATACATAAATATATAAATTTATTTAACTAAACTTAATATTTATCTTCACTCTTCAAAATCCAGACTTTCACTTCACTTCACTTCAAGTCTTCACTCTCTGTGCCTCCATCACTCTCAGATTCCTCTTTCACTCGTCTATGTCTTGTCTCAGAGTCCCTCTCTCACTAGTCACTCCTATCCTTTTTATCAACCTGAATTAAGTAAACCGACCACAACCCAATTTTTAACCCAAAATTAAACAGAATTAAGTAATCCGAATTCAACCCAAACCCGTCCGAATTAAATTCAGACAATACTCAAGTTGAGTATTTCGGGTTGAGATCGGATTAAAATTAGTGTTAGAATTAAAGATTATACACCTAAAATTAAGTTAAGGCTAACATTTCAACCCGCCCAAGTTGCATATAGTTTTGGAGGTAANGACAGAATTAAGTAACCCGAATTCAACCCAAACCCGTCCGAATTAAATTTAGACAATACTCAAGTTGAGTATTTCGGGTTGAGATCGGATTAAAATTAGTGTTAGAATTAAAGATTATACACCTAGAATTAAGTTAAGGCTAACATTTCAACCCGCCCAAGTTGCATATAGTTTTGGAGGTAAAAATGTTCTGTCACCTATAGCACAGGAATCACCGTCAAAGCAACAGGCCATTCAAAGGAAATCCACTTGATCCGACGGTGAAATTTAAGAAGTCTATTTCTTACCTACCGATGAAAAGAAAGGAACAAGGGAACGCATAAAGAAACTGAAACTTTGACAGTCACATCCACCTTTTGGTGCTAGTTGTTTGGATTCTTTGGCACTCACAAGGCACTAGTGCATAGCCTTGTCGACATAAAATCAAATCTATATTTTTATTTTATTTTTTTGGGAGAAAAAATCAAGTTTTACGTTTTATCTTCTTAAAGTTAAGAGTTTAAATCTCTTGAACAAAAAATAGGTGATTGGTTGATAGGACAAACTTCAATTACTTAGAAGAACCTTATCCAAGTCTCTAGTGTAGATTTGAATACCCACCGAAACACAAATTTTAATTTAACTGGTGTAGATTCGAATTCCCACCAAATCTCAGTTTCTCCTACGACAAACTTACCGAAAAAAGAGTGCTCTTCTGAAAAGTATGCGTTCAAGGAGAAATGCTTGAGTTTTATTACCAAATTTATTTTACTGCATATGGGAATCTGTTTATGCTCTTAATACTTCAAATAAGAATATGTACATGCACTAAGAACTCAGCGTAACATCTAATTGAGATCAAAAAGAAGCTATTTGAACTTCCACCCAAAGACAAGTAGAAATCAGTTGTTACCTCAGCCAACGAATTCTATCTCCCTTCTCTTGAGATTTATGTCACAGGAGTTTCTTTTCTATTAGCAAACAGGAGTCTCTTGTCTGCTTTTCCCAGTTGGTCCATCGAGAACTGATTCTTCTAAAGAGTGGCTGGCTAATCAGGCCTGGTGAAGTCACAATATGACATTAAAATTCAGAGCGAATTCACATGAACTAAAAAGTCTTTGTGCTTCCGTTGCCACCATTATGTATCATTCACAAAGCTTTTCCAGCCATCCACTTACGCACTCTCATGAAAGTCTAGCGATCGCGACAATGCTGCTGGATTGGCTTGTAATACCGTAGAGGTTTCTGTGTGATTCTTTTTGTCACCATTTGATTGGAAAGCCTTAAAGAGACCTCCTCCGCGAATAGAATCTGCTGTATCATGTTTAATCCCCAGTGTCGCCCATATAGAGCTCCTTGCAGCTTCTCCAGGGTCCTCAATCCTCAAAGTTTTTGGAACCCAAAGGCACTTCTCAGGATCACTCTCTTTTTGTGGCCCTTCTTTGTGTTCGTTGGTTGATTTAAGCATGTCGTATTCCCTTGAATGCTTCCCCAAGGATGGAGAATTGGGCCCTGGAGGAGGGGCCATCTGGTTTTGAGACATAGGAGGCTGGGTGACCCAAGTGAGGTTCCAAGTTCCTGGCACAGTACAACCCCAATAAGGTGCTGCAGGGTAGAATGGCATAGGAAAGCCAGCAGGGTAGAAAGCAGGCGAGGATACTGGAGAGCTCCACTGAGCTGAATTCCATGGGTAAGGCCAAGGAGGCCCGGTAAAACATGGTCCCTGAGGTGGAAAGCTCTGACAGTTCGGCATCATTGGGTCGGGCAGCACAGTTTTACCAACCTCATCCATTGAACTTGCAGCAGTGACTGAAGATCCACTAGAATGATCTTCACCATTTTCGCCAACTGCATAAGAAACTGGAATTCTTAGTTCTGTTGATTTATGAAACCCATTTTGTGAGCAGTTCCGCACTGTTTTTTCAGCAATATTCAAAACTGAAGCCATTGACTCACAAAGGGGTTTATCTGATCCAAAGGCAAGGACAGTACCATTGGGTTGCAGAGTAGGGTGGTGAAGTCCATTTGGAATATCTGCTCGGGGATTCTGAAGAGCTTCTGAGACGCTTATGTGACGGTAGTGGGAGGCCGAGTGTTTGTTCTTCCGGCGACCAGCACCAACAGGCACATTCCTCATGGTTCCACCAGCTGTCCAGTATCTCTGGCAGTTCTTGCAGAAGTGCCGGGGTTGGTTGACATTGTAATTATTGTAATAACAGAACTTGGTGTCCATGCTATTGCAGCGGGGACATGGAAGTATTTTGTCTGGTTTCTTTAGGGTCTTCTCTTGTGAGTTACTTGTCTCATTCTGTTCTTCTCCAGTCTCCATACTTTTCACAGCCGCATTATCATCATCAGAAGCTGATATTTCTGAGTTCTTTTGTGTTGCTGAAGTTGCATTTCTATCTGGTAACTGCTCTGAAGTCAAAGGTTGGGTTCCACCCTCATCTTTAGGATCNGAAGCTGATATTTCTGAGTTCTTTTGTGTTGCTGACGTTGCATATCTATCTGGTAACTGCTCTGAAGTCAAAGGTTGGGTTCCACCCTCATCTTTAGGATCAATAAGTTTCCTTTCCGGCTGATCCTGCATTTATCATAATTTTCAAAGAGTATCACAAATCAATTGGTTGGAACTAAAGTCTTGCCAAATCTGAACAGCACTATTAGCATGTGGCCAATGATCTGAAATTATTATTGGGTCAAATTCAGAAGACATCACAGGATAGTCCACTAGTTTCATCAGACTTAACAGATACAGCATTACATTGTGTGAGTCAAGAAAATGTCGGTAATAATCAGGTCAGTCACATTCTTCATGGCATTATGCTGAAACAGAAACTCAAACTATGTCAACAAAGCACACAAACTGTCCATTTGATCATCAAGAACCTACCAAAACAAAAACCATATTCTGTATTCAAGTACGGTTTGGTGGCCGTTACGGAATTCCGAGTCTATGTCCTTCAACACTTCTTCTCCACAACCAAGAGCACGATACCAAAATAAAGGAAAGGAATAGGGAACAGCCACGTAACAAGAAGCACCAACGATCAACTCATCATTTCGGCAGTGTGTGAAACAAACAGGACTAACAGAAACAAGAAGCCCATGCTCATAAAAGGAAAATAAGTGCACAGGGACTTACACTATCATTAAACATAACCATTACCAGGTGAAGGTGCATCTAGTTGATCAATTTATCCATCGATTTCAATTAGAAAATATCAATTTCTAGCATAAGGCACATGACTTCAATCTTGAACAGTATTTACCTAAAGTTGAATGACAACAAAGGGGTATTACCAGCAGAAAGCTTGATCATCCACAGATCAAGAAGGTAAATCAGGCTTCACAAAAAAAAAGAAGGAAAAAACCATTTTAAGTCAAATGGATAACATTAGTATGAATACGATGTTCGAAGCACCCATTATTTAAAGTTACACAGCAGCAATTGAAGAGATTGTCAAGCAGGCATATATCTACATACGGACTGGCCCTTCTTAACCAAGCTCACTCAATTAACTGCTTATTTATCAACATGAACCTCAAAACAAGTGAATTAATAAGGAAAGCCATGTGATTGTGGAAAAAATTAGAGTCCATCACAGAAGAATCTGAAAGGAACAATTAGAATAGGTAACTAACTAAACCTGCAATTCCAAAAACATGACAGAGAATCCCAACTTTGAACAATATAGCAATAATTACTCTAATCCCAAGTAAAAAAAACATTTAAAATTCAAGTTATATTGTTACAATCTACACATCAAAAACCCTAATTAGTCCCCCAAAATCCCCAAGTCAACAAACTGCTCTAAACGTTTAAAACAAAGATCTACCCNCATATAAAATTCAAGTTATATTGTTACAATCTACACATCAAAAACCCTAATTAGGCCCCCAAAATCCCCAAGTCAACAAACTGCTCTAAACGTTTAAAACAAAGATCTACCCATCATTTCTTTTTATATTCCAAATAAAGGGTCGTACTGAAAATCAAAAACTACAAAGTCAATCCATACCTTCTCTGGGTCTTGCTCTTCTCCAGCTCTGCTCATATTATCCTCATCATGCGAGGAATTGGGCGAAGAAGGATGGCCTTGAGTAGGCCCATCATCACCAGGAAAATCAGAACATGTAGTTAGATGAGCTCCGCCGCCCTCGGCGGCCGCCGTCGCCGAAATCTCTGGTAACGGAATCGTCTTCCCAAACAGCTTTATCGCTGGATCTTTGACTTCCGACATTTGTGTTCTTTCCCTTATCCAAGTTTACTTGGCAAAAAGGTGCAAATTACTGAGAGACAAAGAGAGTAATTCAGAGAGATCTGACAATACACGGTGTCTGTGGAAAAGTGTGTGCGTTGGGGCTGGGGGTCGCGTTGTGTTCGTATTCTGATTTCGGCGTCGTCGACACTACGTTTATGATTCCGTCCGTTTTAACCAAGTGGGGCCGCCACGTCATCGACCAAAAGCAATTCTCAGCCACAAGTTTGTGTGGCCTTGAGATTTTCTCTTCGCCTTTTTCTCTTTCACTTTTTTCTTCCTTCTTTTGGATTTGATAAAGTTTTGTTTTCTCTCTCCGCGCTTTCTCTCTCTTTGCTTTTGGATTCTCACTTGCAACATGAATAAAAAAGTCTACGGGACAGGAGAACAGTCGTTTTATCCGACCACCGAGTGGGCGGTCCGGTACCGATCAAACTTCTCGGCAATTGAAGTTTGATTTTTGGAGTTCACATCAGAATTTAATGATCAATCATTATATTAATTTAATTAAATTTATTTAAAAAAATTAATTAAAATAATTAAGGATCTCGTAATTTTATCAATAAAAATTTAAAATAATAATATGTACCTCAAATTTTTAATCTAAATCAAAAAGAATTATTGAATCAATAGATGTTATTTAAAAAAATTGACGAACCCGCTAATCCAATAATCTCTGGATTCAAGAAATAGNTGATCAATAAATCTTATTTAAAAAAATTGACGAACCCGCTAATCCAATAATCTCTGGATTCAAGAAATAGTACTATTAAAAAAATCTATTAGATGGCGGCTGAACGCTATCTTTCCGCTATTTAGAGAAGGAGAGAGTCGTACTATCCGGCTGACTTAAGCAGTTTTATTTACATTTGCCACCCCCCAAAGTCCTCCTTATTTTCTCTCTCTAACCACACCTCACTTTTTCAGACGTTGCCCAACTTTTCTGCGCTAAAATCATTGTTTTGATTTCTTTATTTCCTTCTTTTGGGGTTTATTTTGTGGCTGGAAATGCAAGTTGGGCAAAGTGGTGCTTTCACTTTGAAGCTTCCTTCCAAATGCTTTGCCACCATCATGCTTGGACGAGGATGGTTTGGGATGTTTAAATTGATTCCAACTCATTTATTTATCGGATTTGACATTTTAATCGTATTATATTCCCATCTGGATAAGATTTAATCAATATTTCTTATTTATAAATTGTCAAGTAAAAAGGTCTCATAAATATCAATTTTTTTTAGCAATTTCAATAGAGTCTAAGTCGGAGTTATTTATTGAGCCCATTTTTTAATAAAAGTGGAATTGTTGACTCTATTCTTTAACAAAAGTGAATTTGTTGATTCAATTTTTAAAAAATACTGCAATTTGATAAATAAGTTTAAAATATTATATTTGTTTGTTAATTCTGTTTTTAAAAATTATTATAATTTGATAAATAAATTTAAAAATACTGTATTTTAAAAAGACAAGAGACTGATAAATTATTTGTCTAAGTCATGCTTCAGCCTTGACCAAAAATTCTTTAGTCAACAATTCTTAATTCTCTGATCGGTCAGCGGTTCGCATTTTTTTTTTTTTGCATTTACTACATTCACTTGTCATCCTTCTCGAGTCAATAATAGTCCCTCAATGGTGGTATACATTATGGATAAAATATTATATATTTTTAATTTATTATTGTAATTTGTGAAATTATCATAATTTTTTTAAAAAAAATTAGTTTATTAGTCCAACATATAAATGTTATTATAAATTTTTATTGGATGTAAATTTTTGAAGATTTTGATGATGTACAAAATTATTTTCGTGCAAGATCAACAGTCAAGTATGTGTAAGGGTGTGATTAATGAGCAATTAATGAGCAATCAACGGCAATCAAGAGTAAAACAGTAAATAATATATCAACACAGGGATTTATAATGGTTCGGTCCGGGTGACCTACTATACTCTCGGGAATGGCAGCAGTGGCCTGATGTTCTTTATTGATGAATCATGATCTCCGGAGAGTTACAGTGCTTTTGAGAGAGAGATGCGTGCGGAGATGTTTTGGAAGTTTCAAGGTGTAGAGGTCTTAAGAAGGTCCTTGGAGGCGTTAGAGGCCCTTTTATGTTGAAAGGGTTTACATTATATAGATAGGGTAAGGTAACAGAGGCGGTGACGTGAGGGAGAAAAATTTCATTACTTTGGCAAGTATTGTTATGGTAGGAGATCTTCTATATCTATCTCCATATTATCTTCCCTCGTGCTCCTATTCATACGGAGGAGAACATTAGTTGGACCTGGACTTGTTTTGGACCTGGACCTGGAGTACCAAGGTGAGGAGGACCAAGAGGAGGGGCGCCCAAGGGCTCCCTTGTCCTCCTCCTTCTTCGGTCGTTGCTCCTATTCATCCGGAGGAGAATATTAGTTGGACCTGGACCTGAACTTGTCTTGGACTAGACCTGGAGTACCAAGGTGAGAAGGACCAAGAGGAGGGGTGCCCAAGGGCTCCCTTGTCCTCCTCCTTCTTCGACCGTTGCTCCTATTCATCCGGAGAAGAACATTAGTTGGACCTGGACCTGGACTTGTCTTGGACGAAACCTGGAGCACCAAGGTGAGGAGGACCAAGAGGAGGGGCGCCCAAGGGCACCCTTGTCCTCCTCCTTCTTCGGCCGTTGCTCCTATTCATATGGAGGAGAACATTAGTTGGACATGGACTTGGATTGGACCTGGAGTACCAAGGTGAAGAGGACCAAGAGGAGGGGCACCCAAGGGCTTGCCATGGGCAGCGCCCAAGGGCTCCCTTGTCCTCCTCCTTCTTCGGTCGTTGGCTTTTGGTGTTGTCCTCTTGGTGTCCTCCTCGATGGGTCGACAATTGACGCTTCTTTGGACTTTCTCGATTTATCTAAATTGGGCTTGACTCAGTTAAATCCAAACTCATCAGATTTAATTAGGAATCTAATTCAATGCAATAATTAAATTTATTGTGAGTTTTAATGTTAGAAGAAATTTATTTTTAATCTAATAATTGTATTAAATTAGATTACCAAATTAATTAATACATCCTAATTCCAAATCGTGAAGCATGTTTTATTTATTAAAATAAAATTAGCATTCAAATTCATTTGAAAAACTAATCACATATATGAATTCATATAAATAATACTAATCGAATCTAAATTCAATAAAATACAAATTTAAAAATAATCCACTATAAAAAAGCCCTCTCAATTACATTCGAGGTGTCAATTTTACCCATCGGCTTGAACCCGAGTCGATATAAAATTTAAAAATGATATATTTAATTAAAATAATAAACAGGTCAAAATAAAGGTGAGCATAAATAATAAAATTAACGGATAAAATAAGTAAAATAAATAAATATTAAAAAAAAAAACACGATACAAAAATGAGATGAGACGACGCAATTAACATCCCTATGACTCGATGATCGTGTAGGTCCTGCCTTTTACAAGTGTGTTGCACCTCGTAACCCAACGATATCCCAAGAATCAACTCTTGTGGGTGTGCTTTGCTTTGCAAAAAGAGATCTACCATGTGACAGACACGTGTCATCTAAAAAGGTGTGATTCATTTCCTTTTTTCTCCCTACCTGTATCCTTTTGATTTGCTCAAGGAATTAATTTAATCTGAAGCTTAAATTGGGGTGACAAATAAAAAGTTGATTTACTCTAGTGGGCAATTTAATATTATTGAGGGACTACTATTAAATAGAATATTATTTATTGGACAGATGTTTTGCACAAAGTTGTCTAATTGGAGTACCTTGAAGAGTGAAATAATATATATATATATATAATGGGGATGAGTGATAGATAGTAGTGGTGGTAGTGGAAGACAGAGATGATTGTGGTGGGTGGTGACGATTGTCGTGATGGTGGCAGTTGTGAGTGACAACGATGATAGTGGTGATGAGTTTTGAGTGACGATGTTGGTAGTGACAGTTATGGGTAACGTCGTGGTGGTGGTGGTGGAAGACGTTGGTGGTGGTTGGCAGTGGTGGTGGTGGACGATGATGGGTGCATCTAGGTGATAGTGTCATAGGTGGTGGCGAATGACGTTGGTGGTAGGTATGATGGGGGTGTGTGATAGTGGATGACAATAATGGTGGGCGACGAGTGATGGTTGTTGGTGTGGTGAAGGTAGATGACAGTGGCTGGCGACGATGGTGGATGATGACAGGTGATGGTGGGTTATGATAGTGGGTGGCGGTGAGTGGTGGGTGTTGACAGTGGGCGACTATGGTAGTGGGATAATGGTGGTATCGATAATAAATATAAGAATGAGATGACAATGATGATGGCGTTGGACGACGGTGGTAGCAATCAATAGTGGGTGACAATGGTGGTGGGGGTGGCAGTGGAGGGGGAGGGTAGTGGTGAGGTAATGGCGGTAGTGATGGGCAGTGGCAGTGATGGGGTGGTGGTGATGGTGGTAGTGATAGTGGTGGTGGATGGTGGGTATGGTGATGAAGGTGGTGGTATTGGTGGCGGCGATGACCAGGGGTGGTTATTGTGTTAGAGGTGGTGG